ATTACGCGTAGTTGGAGGCTGAATTTGAAATCTTTGAGTAGTACTTGAACAGGGAACATTGCCCCACAATTTTAGCTTTCGAGCTTTTTGTTTCTCGAGTCAGCAGTTTCCTCGCCAAAACTTTCACACGCCTGCTCGCGAATATCATGTATACGTGGGAGCTGAATTTGAAATCATTAAGTTGCTTGTGACAGGATACATCTCCTTAAAATTTCAGCCTTACAGCTTTTCTGGTTGCTGAGTTAGCAATTTTTCCAAAATTTTTACTTGCCTTATTTGAGAATCACGCATACCTCTAGGTGACAGACTTATTTTTCATGATTATTTCCGGTGTATTTGTTGTGTCTTGTGTTTCGCTATTGGGTGCCGTAGTTGTGCCGGGCCTGCTCTGAACGTTTTGCCTGTTTGTTTCATGAGCCATGCAGCAGGCAGTTCTGGACATTTTCGTGATAAGTATTGATGGACTCCGCTTGTGTACTTTTTCTCGCTCAGGTCTGATAATTTATAGATGCCCAAAAGGAGAAAACGCAAAAATGTCGATAATGAGGGACCGATGAACAGCGGGAAAAAATTCAAAACAGAAGATATTGAGAATGTGCTACCGAATGACAACGATAAAGGTATTTTTCTTATATCTCACATTAAAAACTCTTCTAGAGTAGTGCGCGAAATTGCTTCTGAAAATTCAATATATGGCCAGCGCACTGACTGCCGGTGCGAAGATGCGTTTTTTGCATAATTCCTCGCAGATTTTTGTTGCTAACGGCACTGTTTTCCGGCAGATGTCTCTAGCTAAAAGAATTTGAGATTGGCTGCCAGGACTGTCAAGAAGCATCTCTTTAAAATTTCAGCCTTCTAGCTTTCCTGGTTCCCGAGTTAACAACACCCGCAAGAAACATTCACGGGCCCGTATATGGGTACACGCATACCCGAGAGCTGGGTTTTAGCTCATTAATACCCACATGGACGGGACACATCCTCTTAAAATTCCAGTCTTCTAGCGTTTCAGGTTTCCTAGCTAGCAACTTACCCGAAAAAACTTTGGCGGGCTCGCACGTGAATACCATGCTGGTAAGAGCGCCCATTTTGGAGATGGGGGCCCTTACGTGCACGAAAATTGTTTCCAGAAGCCCTGTAGCTTTTGTAGGTCTCGAGATGAAAAATCGGTACAGACGCACAGCGGAGACACAGACACCCCCTCGCCGGTATGCGTTTTCTGCATTGCATAGATTCAAAAAACTCATAAAAAGCACAGCTGTCGCTGATTCGCGGATTAACGGAAAGACACAAATCTACATACAACTTGCAATTCCTTTACGTCACGAGAAAAAATCTTGTTCGCTACTCGGCGGCTGACATACAAACACTAGGGCTGATAAATTGCTCAAAATTTAGCAGCTAATCTACTGAAGATTGTAATTTAGTGGCCGCTTGAAGTGTTTTAGGTAATGTGCGGGAAAGTCTCTGATTCGGATTTTTTTTTCGTTGCTT